ATATTCTAAACGAATATAAAGGTGTCCAAGTTATTGATCATAAATAGAAGTCCCGTTCCCCCGCGGAGTCGGATCCTCGTATGTGCCCATCAACCAACCCCCGGGCACAACAGGCGTCAAGTTAAATAAAAATTATGTATGGTGTCTTATTATTCAATTACTATTGTATAAAAGATTTGATATCAGTAAATGGCGTCAAGTTAAATAAAAATGAAAAAAAACTTGTATCCAAATGAAATATAATTTTTTAAAAGATAAAACTTAAATAGTATCCTTTGAACTTTGATGTAAACTAACTTTACTTTAGTGATATGTATATTATTACTATTACCTGTATAAATGACTTGATATATATCAGAAAATGGCGTCAAGTTGAATAAAAATTATGTTATTTAACCTAAGTGATGTGTATATCGTTAGTATAAAATATGTGTTGTCAATAATTATCATAAAATTATATTCTCATAAAATGATTAATTTACAACCCGAATGACATATATGTATTTACAATAAAATGAAAAAATTAAATGTTAATAAAATAATTTTTATGTAAAAACATTTGGCGCTTTTTATTTAATCTTGTTAGGTCTAGCAGCGCCAAGTGTTTTTACATGAAAATTATTTTATTAACATTTAATTTTTTTATTTTGTATTGTAACACATATATTTTTATTGCAATACATATATGTCATTCGGGTTGTAAATTAATCATTTTATGAGAGTATAATTTAATGCCAATTATTGACAACACATATTTTATACTAACGATATACACATCACTTAGGTTAAATAACATAATTTTTATTCAACTTGACGCTATTTGCTGATATCAAATCTTTTATACAAGTAATAGTAATTGAATAATAAGACACTGTACATAATTTTTATTTAACTTGACGCCATTTACTGATATACATCAAGTCATTTATACAGGTAATAGTAATAATATACATATCACTAAAGTAAAGTTAGTTTACATCAAAGTACAAAGGATACCATTTAAGTTTTATCTTTTAAAAAATTATATTTCATTTGAATACAAGTTTTTTTTCATTTTTATTTAACTTGACGCCATTTACTGATATCAAATCTTTTATACAAGTAATAGTAATTGAATAATAAGACACCATACATAATTTTTATTTAATAGTATTACATAAAGGTGTACGATCGCTGACGTATTGAAACAATTTAAAAACAGATTTTGGCAAATTTTTATGCTCACTCGCTTTGTGTAACAGCGATAATATATCTTATAAGCTTGACTTTGTCCACTTACGATATACATATAATTTTAAAAGATGTAGAACTATTTCATCTACATGTAATGGATTTTTTTTATTTACTAAGAGAACTGCTTCTTTTTCACGGTTAAACTCATCTTCATCGATGTCAGTAATCTTGCTGCTAATAATATCATTATGATCATGATCATTCATAGTATTTTGAGTAATATTTATGTGTATTTCAGCTTGATCTTGATAGCTCATTTCATCGCTCATATTTTCATTTATGTTTGTATTACTGTCATTTGTGAAATTATCTGTATCGTTGTAATGAGAAATAGTATTTCCATTATCACTTGCAATCAGTGGCAAATGTATTTCATTATTGTGATCATCGTCACTAAAAGTGTCATCTCTTACAGTATTCTTATCCCACCTTTGTCTCGTTTTCAATGGAACCAGTAGTAAAAGAAA